TGAACATGCCCACCATCTATAGGATAGCTGGCTACCTGGCAGTAGTCAGGTTTGATGAGAGGGCTTTGTAAGAACATGGTGACATTTTAGGAGCATTCAGCTCAGCTTGAAACGATTTTCTGGGAGATTTCAGATGTATCTGTAATGCCTGAAAGACAAGGATAGCATTGATCAAGGTATTTTTAAGCCTTCAGTTTAGTTCCATCAGCAGTTCTGAATCACCAGACCGGTTAACGAGGTGTTCTAATTGATATAATAATTCTACATAGTTTTTCCACTTACACTAATGCAACATTTGGCTTTGTTGAGGTTGGATATTAACCACAAGTTGAAAGGAAGGCCTGATTCTCTGATCCTTTGCTACATTTCATAAAGCTTTTAATTTTCCTTGCAATAACGCACATGCAATCCATATTGACATTTTTTTCCTCATGGTTTTGGAGACCCTGTTCAGTTGTTAATTGATAGTGTATGAGCAATGAAGGCAGCCTCAATAGTTTTACTATTACAGAAACATTCATCTCATTCATAAAGATCATCTGTTCAAGAGCAGCCAACCCTGGTTTTTGTTCTGTTTACTGGCTTTGTTTTGGGCAATGTGCTGACTTGCCTACAAGCTCTTCAACTACAGAGTGTTCAAATAGTTTCCACTGATGTGTTAAGATCTCCAGTTCACATGAGTCTGCTTGCTAAAATTTTGAGAATATGAAGCCAGTCCTGACACCAGAGTCTTGGCACTTGAGATGACACTACATGGTGCTAAGTAGCCACAGCTTGAGCCCTGAGCGATAGCATCTCCCAAGCTTAAAAATCAGTCCTATGAGCCAAGACACTAGGGCATTTTTGTGTGTTTGTTTGTTTTCTAACAGGAAAATAAAGTCCTTGTTTATAGCATTTTTCCCTCTATATTCCCCCAATTAGGGGGTGGGTGGATGCTTGCTGGGCTACAAGCAGATAAAGTGGGGATCTTCTGATCATTCAGGTAAAGATACTTGCCAAACTTAAGGCTGCAGGGGAATGTTCTCCTAGTAAGTGGCTCATCTGACATTTGAAGCAGAAAAGAATGAAGCTCTTGCTTTCTGTTTAGATAATTTGCCTGCTTTTTGACATTGCTTGCCCATTTTAGAGCTTATTTGGTTGATTCAAAGCAGAGGAAGGGAAAACTAGTTGGGCTTTTCAAGGAAGATAAGGAAGATAAGTTCTGAGATCCCACTGACTGTCCAAGAGAAGTAGTTTCTTTTAAAAATCCTAGCATTAAAAACAGGTAAAATATATATATATTTTTAATTTATTAAAGACAAACAAGCCAAATTGACAAACCTAATCAGTTCCAAAGACAGACCAAAACTGATGTTGGCCATCCTTGCAGATACAGCCTGCAATGTGGCCTGTTAAGAATTTATAACCTCATGGCATCCATGTCAGTGTCTAATGTATTGCATTTTAGTGGCATTATGCTGTGGTGTTTGGATATATGAAAGAAAACATGCATTACATTAAAAAAACCCAGGAATTAGGTAACAAGGCATTATTAATGCAGACTTCTCTCTTGAATAGCTGTTTTTTACTGAACCCATAAGAGAAGCAGTAATTCTAGGTGACTCTTCAAATGTGGTATCGGGAATTCACAGTAACCTTTGAAAAGAAGGGGTCTGTGTTATTTATTTGGCAAAATAACTGGCAGGAGCATAGATGGGGTGTATTGAGAAGACATCTGCACTTCAGTAGGCTGGACTGCACACCAAGAAATAAAGGTGTTTCTTCTAGCTGAGGAATATTCAATCCACCATCATCAAAGGAACAGTTTCAGTAATTATTAAAGGAGTAACGAAATGAATAATTTTCTTTTGCTCAAATTAGCTTTGTGTCTGTTTTGGTGTCCTGTAACCTAGCCATTTTTCCAAGATAAAAACAGAACAACAAAAACTGGCAGGTTCTGTGCATCTGGGATCGGTGGCCTGAAACTCATAAAATGTGTAAGTGAAGAAGAGATCATAAAGCTGTCAATTAGATCTTCTAATAGCTTTAAAGCATTACTATATTTTATTACAGACCTAAAATTAGCCTTCATTTCAGACTTGGGTCCTTTTCAAGTTTTTCATACTTCAGTCCAATCTTTTTAGCTAGCAAGGCTGAGTTTTCAGCATTGAACAGTGGAAATGGTATTGGAGCATTTTATTTAATTCTGCTGCAATAGCTACCAATCCTTTTAGATGGCCAGTCATTCTTCATCGAGTTGTTGGGCTTTGCAATTTTTAAAATAGTTGTGTTTAGGTGGACATGGTGCATGGACAGGGGAGTAAATGTTAGAAGACCCATCTCAGTGGAGCTGGGTGAACAGAGTTGTGCAGTTTCCAGTCTGAGGTTAGTGGATAAAGAGACTAGAGGGAAAGCAGTTACTCAGAAAGACAACAACAAAAAATTGCCCTCTTCAAGTTAATGCAAAGCTGCCTGCAGAGTTGGTATATGTGAACACAGATGTGCTGGAAAATCTTAGGAAGAACCAAAGCTCAACTGACACATGAGCTTGATGTGCTCTGTGGGAACATGAATTACACGAGCCATGGGCAGTGCTAAGTGGGAAAGGTGGCAGACTGCAGTGGTGGTGTGTGCAGGCTTTGCTTTTGGTTTTAAATAATCTAGTTAATGTGAGACATCTCAAAAAAGAAGGGGGAAAAAAAAAAATAATAGCAAAACCCCCCACATAGTTCATCTAATGTCTTCTGAAACTGTGTTCTGTTAATGGAGACAGAACTTTTCATAATGAAAATGACATCCAGAGCAGAACCCAGCGTGCAGGTCTCATCTGATTTCCATTGCCTAAAATGCTATCCTAATCCTGGAGACACACCTACAATCCAGAGATGTCTGAATTTTCTATCTGAAAGAGTCCCAGATAGAAAACTTTCCCAGAATTTTGGGTGTCAGATAGGCAGGACTCAGCTCCCACTGAAGTGAATGGTAGAGCTTGCTTCAGCCTTCCTCCTTCAAGCACTCCTCTCAGCCTGGCTGGTGCAGGGCCATGGGGCTGCACTTCCCCTGACCTGCTGAGTAGCTCCATGGACTGGACACTTGCCCAGAGTGTATTTCAGATATTTCAAGGGTAGGTTAATTGCTTGTCTCTGCTTGCTGGGATCACTCTTGTCCTTGCCTCGCAGGCAAGGGTGTAATATAGGGAATTGTGCTTCAGGCATTGAGATGAGAATAAGGAGCTGAAGGATGTGCCCCTTCTTGGTAAATAATGCAATACCCGGGGCTGTGATGAAGATGTGATATAAAATGCACTTTTCCATATCTACTGTTGGCTTTGTCAATATTATTCCAAGTCACCCTGCCCTCCCTGTATATAATGTAAGAACCCTGTGTGATAATTCATAGCCTTTTGCTGTCTGAAAATGAGGTGTTGTGGCACTGGAAGTCCCAGTGCCAAGACCCCCTGACAAGTCCAAAGGAATCTGTCATTCAGTGCCCCGAGTTTCCACGCTGATGGTCCCCTGTGGTCCAGGATGAAGTTCCCTGGGCAGAAAGAAGGATATATATACTGCTCTAAAATGTGTCCTGCTATTTTTTTTTTCTGGGGGCTGTAACGGATCACGGCACCTGCAGAGCAGCATGGGGAGGAACCTGTGACTCTGAAAGAAAGACTCCTACAAGCCAAGTGCCAAGTGTTGCTATAATGGGGCTGGATTACTCACTGTGCTTATTCCAATTCCTGTTGATGCTGGCAGTGGGAGTTTTCCCGAACAGCAACGAACAATGATTCATCTCCAGGTGGTTTGTTTTGTTTTCGGTTTTTTTGTTGGTTTGTCGGTTGTTGTTTTTTTTTGTTTTTTTTTTTTTGAAAGCTACCTTTATTTATTAATTTCTTTTTAAATTTCAAAAAGAAACCGGTAGGAAACTCTCTCGGTGCGGTCCCTGGGTCACCTCCCCCC